ATCACTGAAAAAGAAGCTTCTTTGATGGAGGCACAGAACTCTCCTAGTCTCATAGCATGACCAAAGGGATTCCTAAGTCCTTGGTGTTCTCCCTAATCTCAGAATGTGGCAATAAGCTTCATAGGTTTGTGTTATATATCTGTATCCATTTTGCTTTATGTTGTTGCTATTAGTTCTATTTGTGCTCTCCTCTCAATACTGTTCATGGGATTAACTCAATTTCATATAATAAACATTACTAAGGTGGACTCCAATTCAAAAACCATGGATATTTTAATGACCAATTCTCTGCTTTTTGCTTTGCCTGGGGAGATATGAACAAGCCTTATTTCATCTGATAGGGCACAGTGACAGTACCTTCTTTTGAGCTGTTGGCCAGGGTGGCCCAAGGGACTCACAGATAGTAACTCAGTATAGAACTGGGAAAATGAGCAGCAGACCCCAATCTTATCTAAAGGAATATTGACAACTGATTGCTGCTAGATGAGGAACAGCTGACCTTCTTAAAACAAAGACCTCTAGATAGGCCAGTGTAAACCTTGCCATTACTTCAACCCCCATTGACCTTGATATGGGAACCAGCCCTGAGGTTGATCCAGACAAGGAAGGGGCCCCCTTGCCTCTTCCTCAGACCCTGCTTTCAAAGCCACAACAATCGGAGACACCACCACCCCAGTGCCCTTGGAAGGAACTATGTTCCACCTGCTCCAACACACCTCCCACTCATTATACCCCCATGGCCCATCCACCCCTTGCTGCCCCTTGCTGGCCATTGCCTGCCTTTCTGGTTAATGTTGGCCCAAATGCTGCACAACAGCCATGGGTGCCCACCGCTCTCACAGACCTTGCACTCATCTGCAAAGCCACCAATGAATCAGACCCTGATTCCCCATATTTTGAGAAAGTTATCCACCAATGGGCCATGCAGTTACAGACCCATTATAATTGGTATAGCTTATTAAAGGTGGTTTTGGAACCCTCAGTCTTCCTGAGCTGGTGTTCAGCTTACAAAAATCAGGCTGAAAATCAGGCACGTTTCAACCTTCAATATAGCCTTAATATTACTCTGGATATGCTCACAGGTCACGGACAATATATTGACCCCAGTTCCCAGTCCACTATTGGTCTTCATGCTTACTACCAAGTTAGTGACCTGGCCTTCAAGGCTCTTAAGTGCTGCTCCCCCCGTGACCCACAGGCATTCTTCCACAATTTGATTCAGCAGCCAGGGGAGTCCTTCACGGACTTCCTCACCCATGTAACTGGGGCAGTGGAACGGAGGGTGGAGTCTGGACCCACCTGCAATATGCTTATCAAACAACTGACATGGGAGGGCCTAAATACCCCTACCCGCAATGCTATCGCGCCTGTCCCCAATGATGATATTCATAAATGGGTACTTGCCACTAGGGACCTAGATCCCAGGACAGGGCCCATCAAGGCCCTGACCACCTCCTTAGAGACGCTCTTATTACAAGGAAGGACCACCCCCTCCAATTCAAAAGATGGCTGCTGGAACTGTGGGAGGACAGGACACCTCCACAGGGACTGCCCAAACAATGGAGCTCATCCCAAGACCCGCTGCCCCAAATGCAAAAAGGGATTTCATTGGGCAAAAGATTGTAAGTCACGGCCCCATTGGACTTGGCTCCTTTAAACTCCACCCGGGGCGCCCCTCAGCCCTGCAAGTAAGAGAACAAGACAGATTTTATGGACCCTTCCAATTCTTAATCACTCCCCCCCAACGACGTTATTGCCTTTTTGGGGCATACCATTTTGGCCAGCCCTATGGCCCTTGCCTTTAATTCAAAGCTGGTCTATACACTAGCCGATTTTCAACAACTCTGTGGCACCATAAATTGGCTTAAACCGTTCTTGCCCATTCCCTCGGAGGAATTGAGGGTGCTGTTTTATCTTTTGGAGGGCCCCACCTGCCCTTCAGAAAAGATTAACTTAATTCCCCCAGCCTTTGCTTTATTGCAAAAGGTCATTGAGTTACTCTCGTCAACAACCCTCAACAGGTATGAGCCCCTAAAATCCCTACAGGCTTTAGTGCTATTGACTTCTTCTGGCTTCCTTGGAGCCCTTTGGTAGACTGGGCCACTTATCTGGGTCCATCTCTCATACTCAGAGCTCCAGCAGGTTTCCTCCAAGTTTGATCTGGCCTGTAACTTGGCAGTCAAACTGTGCACTCAAGCTCAAAGAACCTTCAATAGAGAATCCGACTCTATTGTGCTCCCCTTTCCCCTCCATAGCCTACAGGCACTCTGGGCCAATTCCATAAGTTTTCAGACCATGATATCAGGATTCCCTGGTACCACTGACAATCATCTGGCCCAAGACAAAAGAATTCAGGCCCTTCTCATATTGCCATTTGAAGTTAAGCCCTACAGCACTCCTTCTTCTTCCCCAAGTCCCCAAGCAACCACTGCCTTTTTGGATGCTAATAAGATGAACTTTGGGGTCCTAATACATGTTCCTGAAAAAAAGGACATCACCCACATCATCCCTAGTCCTGGCTCTGTCCACTTGGGAGAACTTCTTGCTATATTTAAAGCTTTAGCAGAGTGCCAGGACGAACCCCTAAATCTATTTTCTGATAGCACTTATGCTGTTCAGGTCACTAAAGTCCTCACCTTTTCTCATGCTAAAAACTCCTCCACCCCACTCCACCTCACTATGGTCAAGCTACAGGAATGCCTACAAATTAGAAGTTACCCATGGTATGTCTCACATATCCACTCACATACCACACTGCCCAGAATCCTAGCTCAAGGGAATGCCACCACAGATGCCCTAATCATGACAGTCCAGTCTAGCCAGTTAGAACAAGCAAGAGCTTTACATCAACAATTCCACCTGTCCTGAATACCAGAGTATTCATAAACTGCTCCCAGAAATCTTCATGTCCCAATGCAAGCACCTTGTTCACTCCTGTGCTACCTGTGTCCTGCTTATGCTTCTCAGGCCCCTTAACAGGGGAGGAGTGAATCCCCATGGTTTGACACCCAATGCCATTTGGCAGGTGGACGTGACTCACTACCCCCCTTTTGGAAAATTGAGATTTGTTCATGTTATAGTTGACACATGCTCTTCCCTTACTTATGCTTTAGCTATCTCAGGGGAACAGACTATACATGCCATTAAAGCCATAAAGCCCATCACATTAATCATGGGCGTACCCTGGGCACTTAAGACTGATAATGGGCCAGCAAAAGGACCAACAGGACACTTAAGTTCCTCCTGACTAAAAGCCCCTTGGCTGAGGCCAAACGTGACCCTCACCTGGCTCTTACTGAGTCTTTGTTCCACCTTAATTTCCTCATGTTTGATGACAGGGGTCTCAGTACAGCATACAAACATTGGTCCTCTTTGCCTAGAGCTACGCCTCTGCCACTAGTCAGGTGGAGGGATCTGATTTCATCCCTGTGGTAGAAACCAGCCCCCCGTCCTGACACAAGGATGAGGGTATGCTTGTATTTTTCCACAGGACGCTACAACCCCCATCTGGATTCCATTGAGAGACATCTGGCCAGCTATGGAAGCCCACCTGGAGACCAGGCCCCACTGTGAGTTTCATAAGCCATGACGTCCTTTTCTGGCTTCATTATCTTTGGCATCCTTTTGTCCTTTGGCTGTGCTTCCTCCCAGGCTTCAGATCTCTGGGCACTGGTCCCCTTACCACCTCTGATCCTCCCTGTAGATGAACAGTCCCCTGCTTTCCTGGTTCTCTTTACTACGAATGAATCCCTCAGTCTCTCCACCATGGAATTGATTCATGTGTCTGTTCCTATAAATGGCACATGGTCCCTTGCAGGATCGCTCCGCTTCAGCCCAGCCCTTAACCCCTCCTCCCCTAATGTCTCTCACTGTCACTCCATCTTTAACATCACAACAGGTGACTTTCGTGGAAACCGAAGCCAGAACTACTTAAGGGGCCTCAAAATCTGGTCTCCCTTAGTAAAAGACACTTCTGAGACTACAGTGTCCTTCATGCCCCCTGGGGCCACCACCTCCCCCCACAAGGGTTAGGCGTCCTCCATGGACCAACCCAGTGCCCTCCCACCTACAAACTTCCCACCACATTGCACTTTCCTATTCCATGGGAACACTGCCTTCTGCTCACTCCTGGAGATACATTCCCATTTACGGATTATGTTGGACACCCACAGGCTTCCTCCCTGGCAGCCTGGAGACACCTTGTCTCTACAAAATCCCCCTGAGGTCTGGCAGATCTGGTTTGCTGACATCTGACAAGTGGTTGTGTAATTTCTTGCCCTCCCCCTCCCTCACATGGTCACACCAGAGGTCACACCCTTTGAGGGCTGGTAGTCAATGACGGGTAAGATCCTGATGGTCAGGATGACCTAAGACAGGCACAGTCCATCAAGCTGGGTGTCCTCTGAGGTGGAGTCAACTATGTTGAGGCAAAGAACCTCAGCTCCCACTGACCTTTCTATAATAAAAAGGGATGGATATGTAGGAGAGGAAGTGCCAGGCCTAAGCATAGGCTGCACTAGATAGCACAGCTTCCAATTTGAGAGTACAGCCCACACTTCCACAAAATAGCCAACCTACAATCTGTCCAGATAAGGGGATCCATCAGGAAGTGACACACCAACTTATGGGACACTGGGGGCAGGGGGAGAGATATATAAGGCTTGCACTTCCCAACAATAAACGAGTCTGAAACACCTCGCCTAGAGCCTGCTTCCACCTGACTGCTGGAGTCTGTGTGTTGATTCCGCACTGCTCACCCCCACCTCGGCCAGAACCCTCCTTCCCTGCAATCCCTCATGGGCTGGACCCTCGAGGAAACCTGCAACACTAATGCTTCCCTAAAGCCTGAGAATAGCAAGTGCTCTACTCCAGAAACATTTGTAGAGGGCTGTTATCCTCAAAACCCTGGCCAAAGATTTCTAGTGAATCAGGGTGTTGTTGTTGTTGTTGTTGTTTCTTTTCTTTTTCTTAATGAGTGAGAAGGAAACAAATCACACAAACAGCAGAGACAGTGCATGTATTTTATATGCATGTTATGGTATACAACTTTGTAAACATTTTCAGAATATCACAAAACACAATGCCCACCCTTTCTGTTCCACTTGAGTGTGGATTGATACAAGGCATTGACAGAGGTGATGTCAGCTGGCATCTGAGATGTCACTCACATTATCATCTATAAGCAGGTCCCTCAGGTCCAAATCATGACAAAAGCTTCCATGTCAATATTCATCAGAATATGGATAATTAGGGTGGGCAGAAGTTCTAAAATGAAAAAGAAAAATGTACAATGTAGGCTAAAGGACTCTTCTTCTGGCTGCCATTAAAATGGAAGGTAATCATTTTACTTACTGACTGCAGGAGCTGTCTTAATGTTACAAAATAACTTTATAGAAAATATCTGCTCATCATAATTATTTTAGTTCTAGTGCCCTTCCTAGAAAGTAACACCAAGCTCAGACACTCAAAGAAACCCTTCCATTGCTACATCTGTCTACCAAAGTGATATCTCATCCATCCTTGTTTCAGATTTCCAGTGTAAATAGAATCTAATTATTTCTGTATACAACATTTCTATAGATATTAGTGCTATCAATTCATTCCCATATATATAATTTACTCACTGTCCATCACACATAGCACAGTGTTTGATTCGGACATGAAAATGACTGTTTTTATGAGATGTACTCATAATTATTATTACATATTATATACTTTGTAGACCTCTATACTTGAAAAACAACACAAAACAGATAAAAATAAATTGACATAACTGATAAAACTGCTGATTGCTTCTCTCTTTTTCCTCCCCCTCCCCTAATTCTCTCCCTCCACCCCCCCTCCACTTTCACTACTTTATTTTTCCTTGTAGTAATAAAAAAATATTGGCAATAGCATGAACCTACCTAGTTTTGACTACATGTAATTTTGCATTACACAAATGTTTTCATTTATTATCATGTGTATTTCCACTATGCTTTTAATGTTTTTACATTTATTAATTTATTTGCATATGCATGTGCATGCCTGTACACACATGTACAGGCACTTGCCACACGTGTACCATGTTGCCTGTGTGTAGGTAGAGGACAATATGGGGAAGTTAGTTCTCTTCTTCCACCATCTGAGTCCTGGGTATGGAACTCAAGCCATCCAGCATGGCAGCAAGTGCCTTTACCCATTGGCCATCTCGCTGGCCCACCATTGAGATTTTCAACTCCTACAGGTGGGAGGATTTTATATTCCTTGCTAATCTTCATTTCTTATATGTGTCATTTTTCAGAGTCTAGAACCTGGTCATGAAAAATATTAAAGATTTATTGTTGAATATAAATTTTCTCCAATAATCAAGTTTCAATTCCTGCATCCTTCAATTGCTTTCTTCCCTTGCTGGAAACATTCTTATTCTCTGCATTGAATATTTCATACATCAGAAAGATTAAAATAAAACATTCTGGTGGTTGCCTCAAATGACAGTGGTATTAAGGAAAATGTCAGTGTTTGGGTTCAGAATACTCATATAATGGACAGAAAGGAGAGAACTGAAATTACTAAATACATAAAATTGACAGGAATCCATTGAGCAACTCCAGATGAAGGAGATGGAGTTTCTGGACTGCACCATAAGTATGATGGAGCTGTTTTTAATTGGATAAAGTGTTGAGCAGATTAAGAGAATACAGAGGCTTACATGAAGGTATAAACTCAGCAATATTTTGGCTGACCTGAAATATTCCATCAAATGATAAATGCAGAAGCCCATGTGTGCAAGTCCCAGCTAACCCTGGTTGTACTCACTCTTTTAATGTATCAGGTAGCAGAGCTCTGGGGAGAATCTGGGGCCAGAGTTCTGAGAAGCTGCAGTCTCACAATGACTCAAACTGCCTCTGTCTGCCTGGTATCTAAGTCAACTTTTAACAACCATAGTATATTCATCCTCAGAAAATAAACTGAGCAATACATTTTCCAAAGTTACTTACAGGCCAGAAGTGACAAAGCGATAATTTTTGTTCAGGCCATCTAGGATTGCCATGTCCTCTGGAGGCAACTGGAATTCAAACACCTATCACACAAGCAGAACATTTTCAGTAGAGTTAGACCACATACTTGCCAATCTGGAAAATCCAGGTGAATCAGACTGAAAGACATGGACCAATATTGAAAATATCTGAGAAACTTCCAAAAGTTATTGAAGACAACATTAGCAAAAAAAGGTTCAACATATACATACACACATACATACACACATACATTTATAAATATATAACGCATTGAGTAAATTTAGTGGTGCTCATTGTACCCGTGTTTAGTGATGTCCATTTGGAATTATATAACTTATCAGGAGTTAGTCCCTGGGGAAAAAACAAACAACAAAAAAAAAACTGGTTCTTCCTTGCTCATTGATTGCCTCTAACTCTTCATCTTGAATTGGGACCCCTGACGTTTCCCCCATCGACCTTGATGTGTCAACTGGTTTTGTCATTATGTAGATCTCATTAGATTATAATAATAATCAAAAAAGAGGAAAAGCAGTTGAGAGGGAGTGAGAGGACACAGGAGGCATTGGTGGGGGACTGAGAGAGATGGAAATAATGCAAAGACAATATTTATGTATGAAATTTTCTAATATAAGAAAATTTAAAAAGTTCAACATTAATAAATTGCTTCTCAGCCTTTTGGTTAAGATCAAGTGAAACTATTAATAACCACCAAGTGAAAATTAAATACAAATACATCCTGTGTATAGAATATTAAAACTTCACAATACTACAGACAAAATGAGAGAAGTTTTATTTTTTAAAGCAATAAAACCATCTAGGTGATAGAGCACTTGCCTAGCATGTGTGATGCCCTGGGTTTAATTCCCAGTACTGAAAAAGTAAATAAATAAATTACACATCTGTAATCCTAGCACTTGGGAGGCAGAGCAAAGATGTTCAGGAGTTCAAGGTCATTCTTTGCTACACAGTGAGTTCTAGGCAAGCCTGGGCTACATGAGACTCGGCGGGGTCGGGGTAGGGTGTTTCCTTTGGAAAGAGCCTTTCCAAGGTCAAAGTCTGACTGCCAGTAATATTCTTTCTTTCTTTCTTTCTTTCTTTCTTTCTTTCTTTCTTTCTTTCTTTCTTTCTTTCT